AAGGAGCATTGATGTCTTTGAGCTTTGGTGCTGGAGAGGAGTATTGAATATACCATGGACTGCTAAGAGAATGAACAGGTTTGTCCTGGAGAGGATTAAACCAGGTTGCTTCTTGGAGGCAAGGATTCTGAAGCTTCATCTGACATACTTTGGACATGTTGCAAGGAGGGACCAGTCCTTGGAGAGGGACGTCATGCTTGGGAGGATGAAGGAACAGCACAAGAGAGGAAGACCCTTAATGAGATGGATTGATTCAGAGACAATGAGTTTGGCACAGAATAGGACAGGGTTTAGGGTTGTTGTACATAGGGTCACTATGAGTCACAGGTGACTCGACAGCACATAACAACAACATCAATTTATTAAATAATTAGACTAAATACCTACTGATCAGTGGTTCAAATTATTCATTTGCTCCACAGAAGAAAGATGGGCAATCTCTCAAAAGGCTTACAAACTTGGTTTGATGAAATATTGTAATTAATTACATGACTCAATTGTAATTAATATTAGAAAACAAATTACGGGTGAATGATTTCATGAAAATGAATGATTTGTAAACTTTTCACTCAAATAAAAAAGATGTTTATAGCTTTGGAAACCTGGTGGAGATGGAACAGATTTGACAGAAGTGGGGTTTTGTGGGTGCTTTCCATTTAACCCATAGATTTCCCAAAGCGCACACACATTGTCCTGGGAGAAGTGCAGACAAGATCTCCTGAGGAGCAGGGATGGCAAAACTTCATCTCACAGACTTTGGGGCTGATTTCAGGAAGGGCCAGCCCTTGGTGAGAGACATCATGCTGTGAAAAGTGGAGGATTAGAGAAAGAGAGAAAGACCCTCAACAAGATTTGGCCCAGTAACTATATATTTGTACATGTAACAGAAGGAGGTAGGGATGGTGCAGGATAGGGCGAGGTTCAGACATGGTGTTCATAAGCTGCTATGAGTTGTGCTTGATTTGATGACCCCTAACAACAACTATTTTCTTTTTTATGTTTTTCTTTTTTGACAGTTCCCCCCCACTTCTTTGTTTTTACTATTAATTTTAATGACTGTTTACAGAGATTTTTGGATTTCCATTCACTCATTGTTGCACTTTTCTCCATGCCCACCATTCCCCTCCATTTCACTCTTCTCTTTGAAAAGTAAAAGAAAATATTCTTTCATTGTTATACAATCCCTCCCCTGAAATCCACTCCGCTATAAAGCCTTTGTTCTGGATTCCCGTCATATCCACTTATCAAGATACTAGACAGTTCAAAAAAAGAAATCAATTTCTCTTTACTAAAATCTAGAAAAACATATGGGACTTGTTACTTAAGAAAAGTATACAAATTGTGAGCCTTGAGTACAATTTGATAATTCTTATGTGAAAATCAAGGGGATTAGGTGTGTTGGAGTCAGTTAGACTGGCTCAGGATAGGGCAGGTTTCAGAGCTGTTGTATATAGGTTCTCTGTGAGTCACAGGTGACTTGATGACGCATAACCGTAACAACAACAACAACAACAACAACAACAGCAACATGGCAGAATAAAGAAAGATTGGATAGAGATATAAGAAATAATAAAGAGTAGCTTTTATGAGGTAGAGGCTTGGAAGACCATACAAACGGCAGACATGATCTAAAACAACATTTTACTATGTCCAACTATTCTATACTTAGGGAGCTCTGGTGGCTTAGTGGTAAGTGATTGAGCTGTCAGCCCAAAGGAATGCAGTTCAAATCCATCAGTTGTTCCCTGGGGAACAATCTCCTCCATTTGATTTACTGCCTCCAGCTGGATGATCTATAACAACAGTCCATCCTTGTAGGAGAAAGATGGACAATATCCTTCCATACAGATGCACAGCCTTGGAAATCCAATGGAGAGTCTCTTTGAGATAGAATTTTCTTAATGTCAGTGAGTAAATTTGTCTTTATCCTTCTTTGAAGCAAAATGTATTTTCTGTTAAATGATATTGAGTAAAGATCTGAATCAGATCTTTCTATTCTGACCTTAACTAAGGCCAATTGAATGAGAAGAATGGAGTTTTTGACTTATGGAGAAGTAGATGTAGAGGCAAGAGCCCTGGTGGTATAGGAGGTTAGGTGTTAGGCTGCTAACCAAGAAGTTGGTAGATCAAGCTTGCCAGTTATGCCTTGAGAGAAAGATGAGGCTCTGACTTCTCCAGTAAATATTTACAACTTAGGAAACCCCATACAGAGTTGTCATGAATCAGAATTCATTCCCTAGCAGTGGGTATAGATGAAGAGGAAAACAGGGCTCATTTTAGAGACTAATCTCTCATTAAAGATGGGGAGTGGTTGGGATACATTAATGAGAGGATCTGGACTCTAAACCATGTCAGGGAGTGCAGGAGAGGGTGCTGACTAAAGGGGCCCTGCGGAGAAGGTACTGTTTTGCAGAAGAGATGAGAATTGTGTTCCCCAAAGAGGTAAGTTGGAGACGTGTTTGGAAATGAGAGTCCCTGAGGCACTTATCAGTTCTCATGAGGCCAGACTGAAATGTGGAAGGTGAGTTCTTAATCTAATATGAGCTGTGTTCTCATAATAAGAAGAGGCTCAACACAGAGACAGATGTAGAGGAAAGATGACAATGTGAAGACACTGAAGCTGGAGTTGTGCAACACAAACTGAGGAACACTTGGGGATATCAAAAAGCTGGGGGGAAAAAGAAAAAAGCTTTCCCAGCACCCTCTCCCATCAACCCTTGGAGACAGGTTGAAAGAAAAGACATTTTCTAGAGCCTTCTGAGAAAGATCGGTGGTTTCCTCTTGTAAAGTTTTACAGCCTTGGAAACCTGTGAGAGGGTCACCATGAGTTAGAATCAACCTTTGAGCACTGGGCTTGATTTGGTTTGAAAACCTCCTATAAGATTTATAGACCCCAGAACTGTAAGGTTAGAACTGTCATTTGTGATGATTTGCTATGGCAGTCCTAGGAAACAAATACAATTTTGCCTGGGTCCTTATTGTTCTATTTTCTGCCTTGAAAAGAATTTCAATATTGGCTTTGCTAGGCCTGACTCCATTGCCACCATGCAGGTCCAGAGAGAGGACTTGGCTAGTGCTCACTCAAAAGAATGACTTTAAGCACCAATTACATCCAGTCTGGTTGGAGAGCAGAACTAAAGAGGGAGGACGCAGGAGAAAGCGTCCAGGGGATTTCTGTTTAATATTAGAATTATTCTCCTGGCATAAAGTTAGAGCCATAAATGGAAATCAAGATAGTTCATATTTATCTATGATAGAGAAGAAATACATTTTAAAAGACCATGAATAATGAATAATGATTTTAGGTTCTGAGCCAGAATGGAACCAAGATGACAGCTGAAGAGAAAACCCATGTGTAACTAGGTTGCATCATTTTTAGAAGCTGGATCATCACAGAGCCATATCAAACTTGCTCTCCACACAGAGCTATTGAGTGGTTTCATGACTCAGCTATTTATTGGCATAGTAGAAATTGTTTCAACAGCAAAAAAAAAAAAAACCCCAACAAAACTCTTATAACCATGATTTTGCTATTCACTGCCATTGGATGAGTCCTAACTCGTGGTGACCTCATGAATGAAATGTTGGCAGGTCCTGTGTCATCTGCTATAATTGGACCATTATTTTCTAAGGAGAAGAAATGCCTCATAATGTTAAGGTTCCAAGTAAGCATTTCTTTTTCCTCACAATAAGCAAGAGTTATGTATGATTGCCCCCAAATAGTAACCTTTCCAGAGTTGCTTGCTTTTCTTATAACTCTTCAAGGTTAAAAAACGTTGCAAGTTATTTAGCATTTCTGAGTTATGAAAAGCATAGCATTGTGGCAGTGTTTCTGGTCACAAATGAAACTGTTTTGGCTTATTGTTCTTCATTTGAGGTAGTCTCGTGGTGAAGAGACGCACTGCCATCTTACAGGCATTTGGTTTGAACCCACTAACTGTTCTTCGGGACAAAGTTGGGCAGTCTCCTCCTGTGTGATTTACTGCCTCTGAAAACCTGCTGGAGGGTCAGCTACAGGTTGGTTCTGACTCAAAGACACACAACAAACGAACATCCTGTCTAATTACTTTCTCCTTGATGAATCAGAAAAGGTCAGAGAACATTGTACTGAAAAATGGAGAAGGGCCAACATATGCAACAGCAAGTAGCATTTCACAAGAGTCCAGTTCCTCTCTCATTTGAATACTGGCTCTTAGGAAACGTATGATGAACTGTGAGAACATTTAAAGGCCTTAAGGCTGGGAGAGTGGGAGAGATGAATGAATGGAAATGAGAATCAGAAGGAGGAAGCAGGCAGAGTGTGATTACATTCTAGGTATTGTAATCAATGCTATAAAACAAAATGTGTAGAAATGGTTGAATGAAAACAGAGTGTTTGTAAATATTCACTCAAATCACAATGAAAAAAAATAGAGGAGAATTTCTTAACATTGCATTACTGACATTTTGAGCCAGCCAATTCTTTGTTGTGGGTTCATTTCTGTGCACTGTGAGATGTTTAGCAACTTCCTTGGGCTTTACCCTTTAGGTGCCAGAAGAACTCTCCAGTTATGACAATAAAAAAGGTCTCTTGGCAAGGTTAAATATTCCTGTGGGCTCAGGGTAACAACCAAATTGTCTTTAGAAGGTAACCTCTTCTTTGGAGGCATGCCCACCATTTCTGTGTAACTCTCTGTGGTAGTAACTGAATCACACTTAAAGAAATGAAACCGAAGTAAGGAAGTAAATGAAATGTCAGCCATCAAGCAAAACCATTTATCAATCAGATGTATCTGCCTCTCTCTCCCTATAAGTAGCCCACCTAGGTCTTGTGTCCCAGGAGGATATACAGGCAAGGAAAACCCCCTACCTGTTCAGACCTCTCAAATCAAATGGATAAATGCCACAGAAAATTCATCACATATCATGAGCAACCAATACAAAATTATCCCTTGGCCATTTAAAACAACCTCCACTGTGAGAAACAAAAATATATAATAGAAAATAAAAATGGAACTCACTGTTTGCCGAAGCAGGTTTTCGGTATTTTGACAAGTCAACATTGGGTGGTCGGCTGGGCTTTGGTGGAGGGGGGCCCAAGGTAAACAAAGGAGGCAATGGTTTCTGTTTGGGGATGGCTGGACCTTTGTCTCCCTTGTCCTTCTCCTGATTCTGGGCCCACGGCCTTCCCACAGTCAGTTTAGAAGGCACCTTAGGGAACTTGGCAGGAGGAGCTCCAGCTCCTGGTTCCTCCTGGTTCGCTTTGCTCAGGAAGATATTCTTGGCAGTATCAATCTTCCTCTCTTCTTTTTTTTCTTCAGCATTTCTGGGGAGGCCAGGAACTCCTCTGTTTGCTGCTGGTTTCAGAATCACTCCAGGGAAAGGCGAGCTTGACGTCTCTCCTCCAGAGTCTTTGCTGTCAGGGTCTTCCCTTGCTGGTCTTAGGGGGCTGGGTTTCGATTTGGCCCCTAGTGGGGCTGGGGTTCCTCTTGGAGGAGATGCATTCTTCACGGGGTTCTCATCTTCATCGGGACTCAGAGACGACTTCTGGCCCAACATGGGCTTAGGAAAGAGGGGCTTGGGGTCATGATCTTGAGAGGTTGACATAAACTTGCCTTTAACCCCTGCCAACTTTGGGAAAACTTGTTTCTGTTCATTTTCCTGGGCTGGAGGGTTTGACCTGGGCTTTAGGCCTGGTGGCTTTAAGTCATTGTCTTGGTTTAAACCAGGAAGCGATGGCTTATTCCCAGGAGGCCGAGGGAACACAGGTTTGGAATCTTCTTTGGGCAAGTTGGTGGGCTTAGAGCCTACAGGTTTCAGAAATCCCACTTTCACCTCAGGGTCTCTGCTGGGTGGGTTTACCTGTGTCCCAAACCGTTGGTTGACTCCAGGGGTAGGCTTTGGAAATGAGGTCTTGGGTTCCTTGTCAGTCTTTTCCTCAGGAGAAGGTTTCACTCCCAGAGGTGGCTTGGGGCCCCCAAATTTGCTGGGTCCTGTAGGAGGGCTGGCATTTCCTTGGTTGTTGAATAAGTTCATTTTAGCTTGTATTCCTGAAGGTGCATTTTGCCCTGGGACTTTGAAGGGTCGGCTGTTAACGGAGACCTCTTCTGTGGGGATGCCTCCCGAGTTAAACTTCGCCATGAGAGATTTCACATCTGCTTTTCCATCCTACAAGCATAAGGAACAAAAACTAGCTGAGAGTCAGCAGTCTTAGTCACAGTTTAAAATACTATACTTTAAAGGGTTTCCTGGTTTGAGGCCTGTGGCGCTGCTGATTGGTTAGAGAGATATTGTAACACTCATCTTCCTCTATGGCAAAATAAGTTGTGAGAATTTCTCGAAGGGGGAGGGCTATTTCTGTCCACACACTTTTTCTTTTGCTAATCTTAGACTGCCTTCTTAGTTGTTGCTTAAGGAACAGTTTACCTGTTCACCTTCCTCTCGCTCTTTATCCAGCTGGTGCTGGATTTATTCTAAGCTAATATTTTATTTCAGATTGAAAAGTGTGGAGGTGATATAACTCTTCCATATATTCCAATTTAGACTTTCAAGTAGAAACTTGACTAAAACAATGAAAGTAATTCTGCCACTTGGATGCATGCCTTAGATATCAGTGCCCTGAGCTTTGCAAGAGCTGTCTTTATCCCATCCATACTTAAGTTCTGTTTGCTAACAGGTAGAGGCGGTAGAATCTGTGTCCATTTTGGTAATATATCAAAACCAGTAACGGCGGAAACTCTATAGGACTGCCTTGACCTTTGGGGTCTCTCAGGCTTCTGCCTTTGACAAGGTGCCACTTGCTATTTAGTTCTGTTACTTTCTATTACTGGAAAATAGGGAGCTCTGGTGACTTCATGGTAAGGAGTTGCATGCACTGCAAACCCAAAGGTCTTTGATTCAAATCCACTAGCTGCTACGTGGACAAAGATGGACAATGTCCTCCCAGGTGTTTAACTACCTCTGGAAACCAACTGGAGAGGCAGCTAGGAGCCAGTTCTGACTCGAAGGGACATAACAACAACAACAATTGGAAAAGATTTGGTTTTTCCTTCTCTTATGGCTTTCTACTTCCTACTGACTGGAACTTTAACAGTTATTTTGTTTTTAATTTTTACTTTTTAAATATATTTATTTTTTACTTTTATAGCTTTTGCTGCCAAAATAAAATGGATTTTTCTATGTGTCTGTAAATACTTAGTATACCGATTCAGCTGTGTTGAGAATGAACTGTGAGAAGGTGTTCACTATAGGACAGATCCATTTTAGAGATGTGTTCTAGAAGGACACACAAGGGACACAGCAGCAAGAACTGGCTGGGCATTCTCTTTCTAGATGATTCTAGTCACCGGTCTGCCCATTCTATGAAGACATTTAGGATATCCATCTCAGAGGTCTTACTCTCGAATCCCTACCCTTCTTGAGTGGAATGAAGAGATGCTGTAATAAGCAATGACTCTGAAGCAGAGATGGGAAGAGAAAGGGAAAGTAGAATGGCAGAAGCAGAGCTGTTAGAATACAAATAAAGGCAAAGCTGACACATTGTGAAGAAAGCAATGAATGTTGCTGAAACATTTGTGCAGAAATTATTGAATGGAAGTCAATTTGTTCTACAAACTTCCACTGAAAACAATAAAATATGGAATGACTTTAAAAGGATGATGAACAGCAGGTAGTCACGTTTCATCTGGAAGAATGACAGAACTCCCTCTCTCGCCTTTGCCTCTGGTGGCACAGTCTTAGGGTGTTAGCCCAAAGGTGACATCTGTCTAGGGGTTCAAATCTGTCAGTGGCCCCTCAGGAGAAAGATGGACCCTCTTCTCAGGGTGATTTACAGCCTTCACAAACCCACTGGAGAGTGGGCTATGAAAAGCATGTTCTTTTAATATTTAAAATATTAATTAAATTAATTAAAATATTTAAAGCGTGTTCATTTAATAATGAAAATACTAAATTAATGAAAATATTTTAAAACCTAAACATTCTTGTAGGTCATATAGCCCTGGTGTGTACACTTGCTGTACAGAGGTGACTTGTGGTTGCTGTGAAGCTGAACACTGTGACACTGATGTGTCAAAAGCGATAATGGTTACCCATGATGTGTTTGGTGGAGCTCCCTGATTAAAACAAGCTTGGAAGGACAAGTGGCATCCACTTCCACAAATAGTTTGCCTCTGGAAACCCTATGAACCTAGAGAGAGGATGAAAGGCACCCAAGTGTTGAGGACTCTCCTTCATAGGGTCACTATGAGTTGCCTATTCATAGTACTTAACAACAACAACACAACAACAACAACATAGTTGTTGTTAAGTGATGTCAAGTTGTATGACTCATAGTGACCCTATGAATGAAAGACCTGGACGCTTGTATAACTATTATCATTTCTCCAAGTTCATAGAGTTTCCAGAGACAAGTTATTTCAGAAGTGGATGCCACTCCTGCTTCCAAGCTTGTTTTAATAGGAGAGCTCCACCAATCACTGTCCGTCATGAGTAACCATTATTGCATTTGACACATCAGTGTCACAGTGTTTAGCATCACAACAACCACAAGTTACTGAGCTTACACTTATGGCCATAACAATTTTCTTTCTCATACTTAAAAATCATCTAGAAAAGGGTCCACTGTCTCCTAGCTCACCTACCACTGCTGCATTTTCAAACCCATGTAATCTTTCAAGGCCCTGCTCCAATAGCACAAAAACTAAATCCTGTCCCATGCAAGACCCCTCCCTCCTCTGAATTCATTAAGCACATTAGCCTTTCAACACCTCTCTAGTTTATCTCATAATAAAACGCACATTCATTAAGTAAATTAAAAAACCTGCAAACTCAATGTTGCTCAGTCCATTTCAACTCATTGGGACCTTGTGTCAGTTTCAGAGCTGAAAATCACCGTGGGAGCATATTAGCCAGTTTTTCTTTTCAGAGCAGATGGTAGATTTGAACAACTGGAGATGCAGAGTTTTGGTTAGCAATAGAAAACCCTCTGGACCGCCCCACCAGAGCTCCTTCCAGAATGTAAATATGTGTGCTAATTCCATATCATACACATCCTATTTCATTCTCAGAGCCATCATAAGAGCATGGCGCTATGAAACTGTTTCAGAGAAGAGAAAATAGGCTGAAGTTTTAAGAGAATGTCATAGAAAGAATGTGGGATTTTGACTTGAATCCTAGTGTATTAGTGGGAATTCAGTTGCATAATCTATGAAGTTGGAGTAAGAACTCATTAGATTTTTCTCTATGTTAGAGAAAGAGTTGGTAGATTGCCTACAAGTATTTGTCATAAGACAAAGTTCGTATTAAACCCGGTTACTCCTTGGAGGCAAGGATTCTGAAGTTCCATCTGACATGCTTTGGGAATGTTGCAAGGAGGGACCAGTCCTTGGAGAGGGACATCATGCTTGGGAGGGTGGAGGGACAGCGCAGGAGGGGAAGACCTTTGATGAGATGAATAGACTCAGTGACTAGGTACTGTGTCAGAGACATTAAGTTTGGCTCAGGATAGAACAGGATTCAGGAGCAGACACAAGAATGCAAACTCCGATCTGTCTAAAGCTTCCAAGTTCAGAAACCGTGTCTTCTTCCTTTGTCTCCCAAATGCATCTAGACCAGGGTCTTTTGCCCTCAGGAGCCCATTATGTATATGAGACTTTGAGATAGATCCTATATGTGATGATTTTGAAAAAAATCCCAGGGGTTTCTTGTCACACCAAAGCATCGTGCTTATGGATTAGCAGGGTGGGCTATGAGGTCCCTGAAGCAGAAGACCAGATAGGGGCAGCCGTTGCTAGTTTGAATTGTTTTAATCTTTCATTTCTAAATCGATAGTGGGATCCCTGAATACGCCTTATTCCGGACTTTGTTTCTCTTTACCCAGAAGTCCTGCTAGTGCAGTGGTTCAAGCTCTCTGCAGCTAACTGAAAGGGTGATGGTTCAAATTCACCAGCTGCTTTATGGGAGAAAGATGCGACGGTCTCCATCTGCAGAGAAGCCAGCCTTATAAACCCCACGGGGTAATTCTACTTTGTCCTATAAGGCTTACTGTGAGTCAGAACCAACAGTTGGCTTCTGATTCTCCTTTTTCCACTTCTCTATCTCCAAATTTTCGAGTAGTTCCTGATGGTCCCTCATGGTAAGACAGTAGATCTGGGAGAAGTTACTGAACACAGTTTTTCCAGGTATCATGTTCTTAGATGACAATATTTATTTATTGAAATCTTTTTATTGTTATTCAGGTGAAAGTTTACAGAGCAAATAGATATTTTTTCTTTCAACAATTCCTGCACATTTTGCTTTGTGACATTGATAACTTACTATATTTAATGTCATATTCTGTTGTTGTCGTCAGATGTCCTGGAGTCTAGTATGACCCAGTGTGACCCTATGAACAACAGATCTGAACCTTGCCCTATTCTGTGCTACCCTTACAATCTCAGATACACTCAAGCCCATTGCTTCTATCACTGAGTCAATTGATCTGTTGAGGGTCATGCTCTCCTTTGCCATCCCTTCCCCTTTCCAAGCTTGATGTCCTCCCTGAGGAATAGCCTCTCCTAGCAACATGTCCAAAGTGTGTGAGACGAAGCTTCATCATCTTTAGGACAGATTAAGATAGCCTAGAAAGCAGGATTGGCCATTCACTTCTGAAATAATAGGCCTCTGAAAACCCTACGAATAATAGAGGAACACAGATAGATATTGTATTAAAGGTAGAACCCAAACCGGAAGTCAATCAAAATGAGGAGAAACAGTTGCAAACATTCTTTAAAAGTTGGAACATGGAATGTATGGAGTATGAATTTTGGAAAACTAGAAGTTTAAAAAAATGAAATGGAATGCATTAATATCAACATTCTAGGCATTAGTGAGATGAGATTGACTGACTTTGGACTATTAGAATCAGTCACATGGTATACCATGCTTGGAATGGAAAACAGAGGTTTTGCAACATAGTATTGCATTGATAGCTAAAAAGACAATTTCAAGTTCCATCATGATGTTGTGCCATCTACATAATGCAGGTCATTGATGAGTCTTCCAATCCTAATGCCACATTCCTCCTCATAGAGTCAAACATCCTGAATGATCTGTTCTGCATGTAGATTGAAAATATATGGAGACAGGACACATCCCTGAACCAGTCCTTTCAGAGTTTTGAA